TATTAATAATATTTACACAAACATTATAATTGATATTTTAAATTATTACTATTTCCTAAAATAGATTATAAGTATTACAAGTAATTATTTTCCTAAAAAGTATTTAAAAATCAATATAATAATTATTTGTAACCACACAATTAATATAATTCCAATTCATGATTGTATAATTTTACAAATTAATAAATTAAAAATGTTATACAATTTTTTCAACTTATATTAGAATACTAATTAAAATTTTTGAAATTAATAATTACTCAACAAACTATTTTATTACATATATTACAACTAATTCATTTCCTAAAAATACTAAAGTTATCCTATAAATAATTATCCTATAAATAATTAGTAATATTAAAAATTATTAATGTCATAAACTAAATTTCAATTATTAAATAAAAAGAAAAACTAAATTTCGGCCGGCCGCAGAGCCCATGGCCGACCAGCGAAGACGGACGCCTGTGGCATGGCCGGCCACCTAGGGCGGTCACTTAGGGTACGGCCGACCACCAATGCCGGCCGCCTAGCGTGCGACCGAACGAAAGAAACCGCCAGCGCCAGTGTCGGCCGCAATCTGCCGTTGTCCACAATGTCGGCGGCCAGTCGACCGGGCTGAAACTTTAACTTTTATTAAAAAAGTTACTACTAATCGAATGAAACAACATACAGGGCAAATTATGAGTCATTTTCCTCGACCTTGATGAGAATGTTCCATTTTTTTCGGAATTTCTTTGGAGGTGCGACGAGGCGGTAGCTAGGCGGCTGCAAGGGAGAGCGGCAAGGGAGAGTAAGAGAGAGACAGAGAGAATTTTTCTTTAAAAAACTAAATTTATGAGAAGAGTAGTTTCTTCTAGGGAGTGGTAGGTACTAATAGGGGGCGAAAATAGCAATTCACATTAAATATCCACACTATTAAATGGGCTAAGAGCATCTCCAATGTTCAATGTTGTAGTGGTAAATTACATCTATATATATATAATAAGAATTAACATTTCTTCGAAAATGGCAGGTCAATTCTATGGTCAAAGATGCTTAGTATTAATTACTTTCTATTAATGGCATTTTTTTTAATTTTTAATTTAAAAACACATACAACATCATTTGGAATTTGTTAAATTAATGACCATGTAATTTGTTAAATTAATTTTTATTTTCTATGTTTAAATCACAGAAATATTTTAGTCTTCTTATTTAAATTGCCAATGGTTTAATGGTAAAATGTTATGTAAATAGACTTAGATATATGTATCACATATCACTGCCTAAATTAATGATTTTATTATTTTTAAAACTAATAAATCTTAAATTGAATATGATTTATTTGTTAAAAGATATTTTGTATTCATAGTGTCATGTTCTATTGTAATTCAAAATTTCAAATTGCCGATATGAATATGAATTTGGATAGTTTAAAGAAACAAAATCCCTTATATGAAGAAATTTATTCCTTGAAAATACACATATTCTTTAAATTGCATAATCAATCAATTGATCTTATTTTTTTGAAAATTACTATGTTTTTTTTATTAATATGCATAAAGTAAAACTAATTAACTTCGGGTCTTTCCTCTCCTTAAAGTCGAGCTCAACGCGAGAGGTCATAACATATGCTCGACTAAAAGGAGAGGTACTTTTTATTAATATTCGTAAAATAAAAATAATTAATTCATCTTTAGATATATAATTTATAATCTTAATGTACTATCATTTGGTGTAGATATTTATTATATGAATCATAAAATATTTTCATTTCATAAAATTAAATATATAAAAAAATAAGGAAATTTCTTTGGATCAATCAGATGATTAAATTAGGGTATTGTCCAAGTTGATTGTTTTACTTTTAGGTGATATTTAAAATAGTAAAAAAAAATTGACACAACTTGATTGGTCTTAAAGTGACCAAGTTATCTGTCTGTTTGATCAGACCAATTCGATTATTGAACCTAAATATAAATTTTAATATTAAAAATACTTTATTACTTGAATGTGATGTAGTCCAAACTTTAAATAATCATATTAACAATATTTTATGAAAACATGTTTAATAATTTATAAATATTTATATATCATTTTATTAATTATTTTGTGATTAAAATAATATTTTATTATAATTTTTATTAATGTAGAAGAAATATAAGGTTTTCAGAACCGGACCGTCATCGAAACGATCAAGTTATTTTATAAATTATTTGTGCTCTGTTCAAATTTTAATTTATAAACATTTTAATATATATAACTCATCGAAAAGATCAAGTTTTTTATTAAATTATTTGTGGTATGTTCAGATTTTAATTTATAAACATTTTTATATATATAGTACTTTTTGTAATAAATTTAAAGAACATGTCATACTTAAATATCTAAACAATTTAAAAATTCAAATGTTTAAACTATTGATAAAGAGTTTATAAATCTCCATTTTATTTAAATATGTAATTTTATATAATTTTAAATGTAATCAAATTTATTTAGAAAATCGATATCGACCCTACCAGTCAAACCGACTGGTGTTGACAGATTCGATAGCTAATATTTTATTCAAGCAACTAGACTGGTTATAAATCGGTTCTCGGTCCATCCGCCCGGACTGTGTCCAACCCGGTTTAATTTAAAAACAATGGGTAAATCATGATTAATGTTATATATATATATATATATATATTTAATTTATAATACAATCGTAATATTGTTTCCCCGTGCATTGCACGGGCCACGCACTAGTTCCACATCAACACATTTATTAATATCACAACTTTCCATTCTCCAATGTACAATGTGATTACAAATGTTGTGGTGATGTGGACATAATTAATGTCTACAATGTAGAGAGGAATATGGTTCATCCACATTCTCTTCCACACTCTAGCTAGCCAATGAAGAGAAGATAGAGAATTATTATTACTATTTTTAAACTATTTAATTAATTTTATTAATTTATATTAAAATTTTAATATTGGTAAGTAGATATATTGTATTTAGACTACATTGTGCATTGGAGATGATTTTTTAATTTAATAGTTATGAACTCAACATTTGTCCTACATGGTTCACAATCTATTTAATATTTTGACATTTGTCAAAATTTTTCCAATAACAACATTAAAGTATTGAAGATGCTCTAAAAAATGGAGGAGTGCGGATGCCCTCGTATACACGGTACATACTATAAAAAGAAGATTAAATCTATACTTATATTAAAGGGAGTCATATTTACCAAATTTAGTAGCTAGAAAAGTCAATAGCATTTATTGCCATTACTATTTTCATATTATACAGTTTTATTTAATACTCCCTCCTATTCATAATAAGTGTCGTTTTGGGCAGTTGCACACTAATTAAGAATTATTTTTTTGCCAATAATAACCCTCATTAATGAAGATAGAGATGGATGTTTTAAAAAAAAAAATGAAGAGAATATGAAATGACGTAGTGTATTTATTAACTAAATGAGGGTAATAATGGAAAAATATGTACAAAACATCCAAAACGACATTTATTTTGGTTAATAATGATAAAGCCAAAATGACATTTAAAAAGAATAGAAGGTAGTATTTGTTTTTGTGTTACGATTTTTAAAAACAGATATGGTCAAATTCTCTCATCATTAATTACTTTCTATTAATTACAATTTATTTATTATTTTCTTAGCAAAAACAGACCAACATTAATTGATTTCCTTAAAATGTGGGAGTTGTTGCTTTATGTTTGTACAGAAAATCGGGTTTCATTATAGAAATTTGTTCAATTACACAATGAATTTGCTATGATATAATTATTTTTTGTGGGAATTTTTTTTAACAGAAAAATATGGCATTTCAATAAGATTTTCGATTTTTTAAGACTGATTGTTATCATGTTATGAAATTGAACATTCCAATATACCTTAACAAAATATACACGTGATGTATACATCAGTTAATAGAAATATAAAATCCTCATATATATATATATATATATATATATATGTCTGTGTGTGTGTGTGTGCGTGTGTGTGTGTGTGTGTAATTTTTCTATTACCATATTTAATTGATAGTTGTTGTGTTATAGGTTTTTTTCATAATTGTTACTTGGTTGTTGTGATATTTAGTTTGGTTGGTGTCGCAAAAATTCTAACCTATATATATAATAAGAATAATCATTTCAATGCAAATTAGAAAAATATTGATATTAGAAGAGATTGAGTTCATGGCTTTTCTGAAATCAAAGTTGTTTAATTAGTATATAAAATTAAATTCAAAAAAGTATATGTGTATATTTTGTACATTATTTATACGATATTTAATTTTAAATTTATTTACATATTATAAATTGATTACTTATATAAATAATACCAACGTGCATTAAATATATTTCATTACATAAAAAAAAAGAAGGCGTGCAACTTGTATAACTTTATAAATAATAATGACATTATATGGCAACAGAGTTTAATAATTAACTATTACATAGTGAATAAGAATAAGTAAAATTGTTATTGTCTCTTATATCAAGGAATAAATATATATAATAAAATTAAATTTATATTAGTATAAATGTGTTAGTGAGATAATATATTAATTATTTTACAAGTTAGCCCTAACATGCTCACGTTTAATGTTTTGACTAATAAAATAACGTTGATTAAAAGATGTGAAAAATCGATTACAACCCTATTTTTTTAGACTTAATGGTGATTAAAAGTAGTGGAAAATAGATGATAACTCTTTTCAGACTTAAACGAGACTTAAACGGTAATTAAAATAGGTGGAAAATGGATAATAACCCTTCTCAGACTTAAACGGACAGAGCCTGTGAAAATAATTCATTTAATATCTCTCTCCCGTGCGCACGGGTTACGTACTAGTTGATGTGATTAGTTCAATCTTATTAATTTACTGCATTTATTATCACTTATTGTAGCCATAACCAAAAAAAAAATCAAATTAATACTTCGTTGAAGGGTATTTTAGTCATTTGTGGGACGCGCAAGTGTTGTGAATATTCAGTTCACAAGAAAGAAATAATTAAAAACTCTCGAGCCCTGCGTGGGTTTCTCAAGAAAACACGTACAACTGCCAAGCAAGTAAATCCAAACAACAAAAATACCAAGTGCTAAACTGAGAAAAATTGAATCGCCGGCACTGCGGAGCCTCCGTTAGTCGCTTTTGATGGAGGCGCTGAAACTCTTTGTGTTCACCGTACTCCTTTCCCTAGTTGTCGCCCACATCGGAGTCGGCGCTGATGTCTCAATCTCAGACGTCGATGAAGAAGTCGAAGTCCCCAGATCGGAGGGTCCGGATTCATCCATCCTGGAGCCGTTAAAGTCCAAGATCCATAGCCTCGGTTAGTTGGGGTTTAATTTAAAGCTTATGGTCTTCATGACTGAGGGAAAATGTTTCCCTGATTAATTCTTACTTTTATTGTTTTTTAGTGTGAGTTGGTATTGAGATGTAGTTGGGATGCTTTTTCTGTGCGCCTTATGAGTTATGCCGGAAAGAGCAGATTTTGAACTCTAATTGGTACATAGAAAATGATTGGCGGACGTTTGTGTATGAAGATGGAGTATAGTCGAAGAATTTAAGGAATCGAAATTAAGTAGTTGAGCATGCTGCTGCACTATGTGTGTACATGCGTATGACATTTATTCTGATGTAAGGTGATACAGTTTTTATGTGCTACTTTGAAAATTGTTTTTATCTTATATGCTTGGATCATACTCGATGTCAATGACTTGTTTCTCCAATGATTGGATGCGTAATAATATAATACATCACTATGAGTGGATACATTACTAGTGAGTGGAATTTGCTTTTATATATATTTCTTTACTTTTATTTTTATTTTGGGTGTGTAGTTGTACTTGACATCCTCCTTATTTTGGATTCTACTAGGCACAAAGTCAGTTCTTGGAATTATATCTTTAGTGAAAGAAGTGAATTTAAGCCTGAATTGTTACACTTGATTTTATAGGTGGCAATGGCTTCCCCAGTTTTCATACATGTTTATCATCCGTTTTCTATTTTTTTTTTATAATATTTGTAGAATCACATGTCGAGGAAAAAATTCGAGAAATAAAAGACAAAGATGAAGTGATTGCCGCTAAAGAGAGGATAATCAAAGAAAAATCAGATAGCATTGCAACATTGGAGAATGAAATCACATCTCTGCAAGTGAGTGATTGGGCTCTTGAATTGATAAGAAATTATTACACATTTCAATAACATTAACTAATAGATGCTATTATGTCATGTTTGTTTGCAAATCTTGTTGTTTATTTCTAGAAAAAGGGCAAATTAGATGCTGCAGAACAGGTGGGAAAGGCACATTCAAGAGCCAGCGAATTGGAAAAAGAAGTGGAGATACTGAGAAAAGATATTGATTTAAAAATTAAGGAAAAAGCGCTTTTGCAGGCCCGAATAACAGAACTTGAAACAAAGGCTTCTGAACTGAATTCTAAAATTGACAGCGTAAGTCACTTTTTTGTGCAAGATTACTTCTTCTTTTGTGAAGTTGTAACTACGATGTAGACTTTCACGTTTTTTACTTCATATAGTTGAACTTCAGTAATGTCATATACAGTTGATGATCAGTGAGTCTCTCCATGGGTATTTCTTTTATTATCTTGAGATCAATGAGATGCTTGTATATTTGGGCTACATAGTT